TAAGAAGCCTTAAGATACTCAAGTATAGAAGTACTTACAAGATAAAGGCTTGATATGGTACCAAAAGGCCAAGAACACTAGTGTGTGTTCTTGGTAAAACTTGAAGATCTAACCTTTTGGAACATTTTTACGGATGGAAGTGTGGTAAAACACTAGATTAAGTGATATACCAACTTAAAAGGTTTAGAAATACTTACTAGTTGAAGATTTAGGAGGAAAAGTCGGATGCTACTTGAGAGGATTTGAGTTCTAACTTTGAAATGGTGAAAAAGTGATTTAAATGGCTAAGTGCCATATATATATATATATACCATTAGGGTTTACGGTCCAAATACAATTTGGGCCGTAAACTCCAAAACTTTTGAAATTTTTGGAACATCATTGTTGCACAATAAACCCTAAGGCATCCTCTCTCCTGATATCTTCTAAAGTGCTAATCCTTAAAAAACTCAAACTTATTCCAAAAAGCTTGAAAGTTTATAGAAACTGTTATGACTTCTATTGAAGTGAAGGGTTGTACAGAATAGAAATTTTGGGTTGTCACATCGTTCATTACTTCGACTCGCCGCTAACGATCTCAATCTACCACCAACAAATCGGCCTCCTTCAGTACCATTCTATCTCTAAATTGCAAAAATGTTTCAGATTTGGAGAGAGAGTATTAACACCAACGTTAAACCACCTCCAACGTCAAACAACCACCTAGATCTGACAAAGCACTAGAAAGCTTATTTGATATGCTTTGTCGGAACACTAGATCGGATGTAGAATGAAGTTATTTGTTGTCTCCAGATGACCGAACATATCCAAATCTGTTTTTTTTTTCTGCCAATCTCCTCTAGATCTACAATTTCATGTTGATCTCTGTTGACGTCACTCTACCATAGGTGTTTGTGGATCTGAAGCTAGGAAGCACACTAAAATATGGAAATAAGAGTCTTAAAGATGTTTGATGATATGCTCATGAAAAAAGGTATGTTTTAAGTTGTAAATGGTGTAAATGCGTTATTTCAGGTTAGATTTGGTGTTTATGTGTGTGGTGTATCTATATCTGGTGATAGTGTTTACATAAAAAAATTCTGCAAAAAAAAGATGCACACAAGGTGCTTGATGAAATGCCTCAATGAAATTAAATAAATTATTAAGTTGTGAATGTTAATGGTGAAGTTTTTTTAGAGTTATACAATGAATAAATTGTTAATATAACGTCTCTTTGTATATTTGTTCAGATCTTCTATTTTAAGGTGATTATGGATATGATGTATATGGTGAACATAATGTGTTTGATGAAATGGTTCAATGAAATTCGGTAAGTTATTAAACTATAATTATGTGTTTTTTATAAATTTATTTTTGTGAATATATAAGTTATTAAACTGTGATTATATATTTTTTTTATTCACTAAATTGTGAGTTAGTGCCAGGAATATTGAATTAAGTTGTGAATTAATGTCTTAAATATTGAATTAAATTGTGAATTCTGATTTTTTTTATTATTTAGATCAGATTTTTTTTAATTCACTAAATTGTATATGTTTTTCTTTTGATGTTTGGTTATGAAATATGAGATAATTTATGTATGTATTAAATTGTGAATGATTTGTTTAATACAGTAACATATGAGATTATACTTGTAAATGAGCTATTGTATTAAAATGTGAATTTTGTGTATTAAATTTTATTCACAACTTAATATAATAGATTCATAATTTAATACATAGAAATGTCTACATATATGAATGTATAAATATAATTTTTAAGTTGATAATCTTGATGTAAATAAATAATTTTACATATTAAACTGTGAATTGACTATATTATGTTGTGAGTTTGTTATGAATTTTGTGTTTGCTTCTGAAACATGATAAGAAATAATCATTACACACATATATGATTTTTTTTCTAAATTTAAATAAATTATACGAAAACTTAAATTAAGAATATTGTATAAATTTAATTTTGAAAAAAACACTAACCTTCATATCTGAAAGTATAAATGTAAGTTTTAAGTTAAGAATATGACATTTTATAGTATTAAATTGTTAATTTAATATATTAAGCTGTGAATTTTTTTGTATTAAACAATTATTATTATATTAACTTGTGAGCTGATATCTGAAAGTGTAAATGTAAGTCTTAAGTTAAGAATATGACATTTCAGTATATGAAATTGTTAATTTAATATATTAAGTTGTGAATTTTATGTATTAAACGATAATTGATTATATTAACTTGTAAACTGACTTCAACTTACTGTGATTTTTAAAATAATTTTTTGTTAAAATATAAATGATTTATGAATGAACTTTTGTATTAATGTTAGAATATATTTATATTTTGTGTTGTATAAGTACGTAAGATTGCATTAGTTTTTTTAATTGTTTTGTATTAAATTCAATATGAGTAAAGTAATAGGTTTATTAAATTATGAATGTAGTATTTACCCAGGGCCGGTCCAAACGTATGTGAGGCCCAGGGTGAAAAGAAAAAAAAATGGCCCCTCAAAGACAAATAAAATAAAGAGTAAAAAAAATATCATTTATTATTTGGTATACACGTGTTCAATTAGCAATAAAAAGCAAGTGAAATTATTTATCTTTTGAGCTAATTTGAGTTTGAACCAACTTTACGCCATAAAAATCATTTAGGTAATATATTTTTTTAATAATATATACTACATAACCATAAACTTTGGGCCCCTGGAGACGTGGGCCCTGAGCGGTCGCCCGGGTTGCCCACCGTCTGGACCGGCCCTGTTAATTTACCCCCTCATCGAATGACTTTATATGCAGATCTGATTTTCAAGAAAAGACTGTTGCAATGTTGGCATAGATTGTTGGTGGCAGCGTTTATTGGTGGTGGTGGTGGTGGTAGAGTTTGGGTTTGACTTCTTTAAATTTGTGAATTAATGTAAAATAGATTGTATTAAGTTGTGAATTTTATCTATTAAACTGTAAATGAACTACATAAATTTGCATTTTACATAATTTTTGGGTTAAACATATAGAACGGTTGTATGAATGGAAATATTAGACTAAAAAAATACGATTTTGCCCTTTTCTTAACAAAAGACAAAAATTAAGATTTTAACATATTTAGTAATACTCACAATACATCTTACTTATTATATGTGAGTTCTTAAGGTTTTTAATATTTTGTAGTTCTCATTTGAATCACTCCATATTTAGTAATATTCACAATACATATTACTTATTATATGTGAGTTCTTAGGGTTCTTAATCTTTTGTGGTTCTCATTTGAACCATATATATATATATATATATATATATATATATATATATATATATATATATATATATATATATATAAACGAAAATTTTCAGTTATTTTGTATTATAAAAATATTTTTTTCTTCAAAATAAGTGATTAAGATTGCATCCCAACATATCATTTATATTTAAAAAAATATAGTTTTTTTTTGAAATATCTATAAAATATTCTAATAGAGTATTATAATATAAAAATTACAACAAAACTATTAGAGTATCCACATATTCTATTAGAATATTAGACTACAAATATTCAAACAATTTTAATAGAATATTAAAATATTCTACAAATTCAAACAATTTTAATAAAATTTTAGAATATTTTAACATGTCTAACAATTCTAGTAAATTACTAAAATATTCTAACATTGTAAAATTCAATTTGAATATTCACAGTGTAACATTCTATTAGAATATTTCACATATATTAAAAAAAAAAGTAATTTTTATTATTATTATGTTTGGATAAATAAAATGACAAAATAATAACTAAAAAAAAAGAATTTTTGGAATTTTCTTTTTTAGTTTGCATTTTAAATTAATTTTTTTATTTTTTGATCTCCAAGATGAGTGACGATCGTGTCCTCATGTCTTACAAGATTAACATGGTCTAATATATATATATATATATATATATATATATATATATATATATATATATATATATATATATATATATATATATAACAAGATTATTTAAAATTTTAAGGCAAAAATAAAATAAAATAAATATGTGGACGTGATACCAACACCACACCGAAAACCTGTGTATCAAAATCCGTTAAAAATCATATATATATATATATATATATATATATATATATATATATATATATATATATATATAATATATATATATATATATATATATATATATATATCATTTAAGCTTGTATCGAGATCATAAAATAAAAGTCACATACTGTAATTTGAAATAACATTTCTCTACTCTATTTTCTTTATTTTATTTGAGAGCATGATGCCGCTTAGATTCTCTGTAAACGAATAGGCTGAACACAAATGAGGGTTATTCATATTCGTTTGTTTAAGTTTAACTAAACTAACAAATGGATATGAATACATATATTTGTGTATGGTTCTTCGCTTGGATGGTAATGGTCATTTATTTTTGTTCGGTTACATTCATTCACGTTTGTTTATATTCGTTCATTTATGTTCATTAAGCATCTTAATAAACGAACATGGTAAAATAATTTTTGAACGAACGAAAATATACAAGAAAATTCTTTTGTTTATGCGTTCATGCTCACAAATAAAATAACGAACACATATTAGAGAAATGTTATAAATTGCAGTCAATGACCATGATACCAACTTATATTACACATATATAACATATATATGATTTTTACCTGATTCGGATATACGTCGTTGTGGTTTTCATATCACGGCTACATTTTTTTTGTTACTTAATCTTTTATTTAAAATTTTAATTAATTTTGTTATTTATTATATAATCAAAATTTAAACAATACACAAAATAAAGATAAAGTAAAAATTAAAAATTAAAGGTTGGATAAAAAATAGAGACGTGGGTTCCAAGTTTACAAACGAATAAAAAAAAGGCAATAGGTTACAAAATTAAAATAGGGAGAGAAACCACGTGTGTTAAGGAATCATTCCGTTATTTTGTGACCGTGGCATATTAGTGCTTCCTTCATATATACAGGCTTTTTTGTGCTATTAACCTTCGCTCTTTATACCTTCGACAATCCAGAAATCAGAACACCCTAACTCCCCTGCAATGGAACCGGAACAGCAACCATCACAAGAAATCAGCAAAAAAGCGGCAAAAAAGGAGGCTGCCAAGGCAGAAAAGCTCCGTCGCTGCCGCCGCCGCATCTGGCGTTGCTGGCGTGTCCATCGACTCTCCTGACCCTCTCGCCGCGAACTATGGGGCATTCCTATGGAAGATCTTCAGTCGAAGGCTATTTCCGGACGTATGTGGACCACCGTTAGCGCTCTTACCGAAGAACTCAAAGACCACACCGTGCTAATAAGGGGGCGGGTTCAGACGATTCGCGCTTTAGGGAAGAACATGACGTTTTTTACTGTAAGAGAGAAAGGATATGCAGTGCAATGTGTGTTGGTGGCTCCTGGCATCGTTAGCTCTCAGATGGTTAAGTATGCAATGACGATTACCAAAGAATCGTTTGTTGACATTGAAGGAGTGGTAAAAGTTCCTCCACAAGCCATCAAAGAAACCTCTCAGCAGGTGAAATACTTAAATGTGTGTTTGTTTTATTTTTCCCAATACTTCTCTAACTTTTGAACAAAAGCAATAACCATTCGTAGTTATTTGATAGGTTGAAGTTCAAGTTAGGAAGATTTATTGTGTAAACAGAGCTGCTGCTATTCTTCCTATAAATGTTGAAGATGCTTCCCGAAGTGAAGCTCAAATAGAGAAGTCTTTGGAGGTAAATTATGAATCTGCAAAAATTGTAACAAATGCTTGTAGATTTTGTACATGATACTACATTATCAAGTGCCACTAATGAACTTATATCCTCATTTGTACACTAATATGGTTACTTCAATTATGCAGACTGGAGAAAAATTTGTTCGTGTTAATCAGGATACCCGTTTGAACTACAGAATTTTGGACTTGCGAACTCCAGCAAATCAAGCAATTTATCGCCTTGAGTGTCAAGTGTCAAATGTAAAACTTAACAGAATAGATGTGTGTTTTTGTGTGTGTGTGTGTGTGTGTGTGTGTGTTTAACACTGATTTTGTAATGATTTTGTGCAGTTGTTTAGGCAGTATCTGCTAGATGAAGATTTTATAGAGATCTACACTCCAAAGTTAACTGCAGGCACTAGTGAAGGTGGTGCAGCTGTTTTTAAATTGGATTACAAGAAACAGCCAGCGTGTCTTGCACAGTCACCCCAACTTCATAAACAGATGGCGATTTGTGGTGATTTTGGTCGTGTTTTTATTGTGGGTCCCGTTTTTAGAGCTGAAGACTCTTATACCCATAGACATTTGTGTGAATTCACAGGTCTTGATATTGAAATGGAGATTAAAGAACATTATTCTGAGGTATGATTTGTAAACAGTTTATATATCAAAGACAAATTTTGGTTATGTTAAAGTATATGTAAAGTTATAGGTTTGAAAATTTAATGGGTTTTTATAGGTGATGGATGTTGTTGACCGACTTTTTGTTAACATGTTTGACGAATTGAATGAAAGATGCAAGAAAGAGCTGGAAGCTATTGGGAAGCAATACCCCTTCACTCCTTTGAAAGTAATTCAAATCCTCTCTTCTTTTATTTGTGTAATGGTGTTACGGATTAATGTTCTCCTTTTTTTTAGAACACCAAAATACAATCACTATGTATATAGATAGGGGTATATAAAAGTAAGGGACAAATTTAGGAGTTGTTCAATTTCATCATGGAAAATTACAAAAAAACATTATATTTTGGGCATTTAATTTTTCTATCAAACCATAAAAAGTTGGATAATATTTTTTAAATTAACCATTTTGACCTTTTATATCAAGTTTCACTGATGATTTTCCAATTTCACTATTTTGACATCAAGTAAAAATGGTTAAATTGGAAAAAGGTTTGAAACTTTAATGGTTTGATTGGAAAAAATGAAGTATTAGTAGTTAAACACTCAGATTCCAATTCTCTGTTTGGTTCGTGGAATGTTTAGAAAGGGATTTGATTTTCTGTAAGGAATTGGAATGTGAAGGAATTTAATTGGAAATTGAATCAGTTCAAAATCTATCTTGTGTTTTGATGAAAAAGATGAAATAGGGGTTGGTATGTCAATAACGATAAATGGCAGAATTACCCTTTGTTTTGGTTTTATAAAGCATTATTTGCTTTATAATATGTTAATTTTTTGATGTTGCGGTTGTTATTAAATGTGCAGTACTTGCGTGAAACCTTGCGGCTTACATTCGAAGAAGGGATTCAAATGCTGAAGGTTAGTAAAAAATATAACATCTTTTACTAATTTAGTAATTTTTTTGAGTAAATTACACTAGTCCCTATGATTTGGGGTAATTTGCACATTTGGTCTCTAACTTATTTTTTTAACTTGGAAAGTCCCTACTTATTGTTTTTGTTACGCGCTTGGTCCCTACTGCTTGTTTTTGTTACGCGTTTGGTCTCTGTCTTACCTAAATAGACTATTATTTAAATAGGAAAAAAATGATGGGGTAGGTAAGGTAAGGTGAGGGGGTGGAGTTGAGGGTGTATTTTTTTAAATAAATTAAAAAATCAATGGCAGAATACTTTTTTTTAGGTAAGAAAGGGACCAAACGCGTAACAAAAACAAACATTAGGGACCTTTCAAGTTAAAAAAATAAGTTAGGAACCAAACGCGCAAATTACCCTAAACCATAGGGACCATTCGTGTAATTTACTCTTTTTTTTTCTTACATTTAAAATATAATATAAGAGGATGCTGGAATTGAGGTGGATCCACTTGGGGATCTTAACACAGAATCAGAAAGAATATTAGGAAAACTTGTTTTGGAAAAGTATGTTTAATTTCTCAAACTACTTACCTGCCCTATACTTTTTTTCTTCCAATTTTACCCCTAAAGAAGTTTTTATTTTTTTTCTCTTATAATTCCAGGTATGGAACTGAATTTTATATACTACACCGTTACCCTCTGGCAGTTCGACCTTTTTATACAATGCCTTGTCCTGACAACGCGTTGTATAGCAACTCATTTGATGTTTTCATTAGAGGTAATGTCAAAAGTAGCCCTGAAAACCTTCGAGCTTTTAGGGGTAAGTATGTAAATTTGATAATGAAGTTCCATATGTTGTTTTTTTTCCATCCAGGGGAGGAAATAATTTCTGGAGCTCAACGTGTGCACATCCCTGAGCTTCTAGAGGCACGTGCAACAGCATGTGGCATAGATGTCAAAACCATATCATCGTACATCGATTCTTTTAGGTACATGTAGTCTATTCTTATTAAGTCCTAACTTTTTACGAAATTACCCTTGTTATATGTTGATAATTATATGTTGTGGCGTTTGTTGAAGGTATGGTGCACCACCACATGGTGGGATTGGAACGGGTTGTGATGCTCTTTTGTGGCCTTGACAACATACGCAAAGTGTCACTTTTTCCACGTGACCCTCGAAGGCTAGAACCGTAATTTTGGGTTCTTTTGGGACATGGGTTTTTGCCATTTTTGGTATGTGAAACAATAGAAGTTGATTGAGTTTGTAATGGTGGAGTTGGAACCTGCTGTTTTTGGTTGTGAATAAATTGGAACTCTAATTGGAATCTCACGGAAAAACTTAGTATGTACGTAGCTTAACGTGCTAAAAAGTAGTAGTTTTATGAGTCGGGTATGCTAACAAAAGCATCAAATGCTATAATGTCTTCTAAGCTTCTCAAAAATAGATATTAAAAGGCTGTGTTTGGTGAGATGGAGCTGATAAACTAGTTTATTTTTTGGAGGTTTTTTAAGTTATATTTAGCAAGCCAAAAAATAACTTAAAAGATGTTTTTTAAGAAACTAATGGCGTGTTCGGCACAATTAACTGGTAGCTGGTAATTTGTAGTGTTTTGTTAAACGCTACATGAAGTAGCATTTGGATTTATAGTGTTTTGTAACTAAACACTAAAAGCTTGTAGTGTCGAACGGGGTTTTCTGTTCAAAACTGAGCGTTTTGTCAAACGCTAGAAATTAAAAGCTCTCAAACATTCCATGCCGAACACGTTCTAAATACACTAGCTTTTTAGGAGATTTGTTATTCTCAAGTATGCCTTAGAAAAACATTTTTTTAAATATTTTTTGTATCATTTTATATATTTCAGCTAGATTTTCAGTTAGGTTTACAAAATTTATTTTTTATTAGCTAGCTTTTTTAACTCATAGTTAGCTGTAGTTTTTCGACTATCAAACATAGTCTTTTTTTTTATATTAAATGAATGGATTATACTTTTCACACACAATTCTATATATCATCGTACACAGTTAGTCTTACTTTTTAGGTTATTATTATCATATAATTATCATTTGACTAACTTTCATCATTATAACCAAATCAATAAAACTTTATTATTTAAGAGTTATATTTTATTGTTAACTTTATTAACATTAATAATTTCAAAGTTATTTTTTATTAAGATAAAAAAACAACAATAATAATGTTTTTATAATATATATATATATATATATATATATATATATATATATTATAAAAAAAAATAAAACTCAAAACAAATATTCATCAATTTTTATTGCTTCTAGTAGTAAATTCATAAACTTAATAATTTTTTTTTTCATTTTCATAAATTCTGAACAAATCTTTATTTTCTTTGAAGTTTTAATATTACATAACAATTTCCGAACAAATTCCCATCTTTTTTTACTTATATTTAATTTCACTCTATAATTAAAAATTACAATATAGACTCTTTTTGCATCGTTCAACAATCAAAAAAATTTAGAATATTTTATTATTTTATTTAATTTCCGTATATATTATATCTAAATATTACCACGTATACGAACAAAATAATTAAACTTGTGTTAGTTTTGAAATAAATCAAGGGAATAAATCAATTATAAGGCCTTTTTATACATATTTTATTTTAGGTATATATAAATAAAATCAGAACTAAAAAAAACAAAATTTTCAAAACTGAAAATACAAATAAAAATAAACCCAATAGGAAACCAAAATCAAGGACGTGCTTATATA